AGTTTAGCAACAAATGATTCAAAATACCTGTTTTACAACAAATGATTCAAAATATCTGTTTTACAAGGGTAAGGATTATTGCTTGTCTCGGTAAAACTGCAGGTGTTTTAATCAAGAAAGCTACATAATTATTGTCCTGAGATGTATTGCGACAAGCACCTAAGGTTACTTACTCATTTAGGTGGTGAATCCCGATGGCTGTCCTATGAAACCTACCTATGGATCACATCTTGCTTTTGTGGTCTTTCAGGAGACGATAATGTTGGAGTCCGGTAATACAGCCAATACATTTACAGCAGTATGACTCATCCCATGTAGGAAAACATGACTTTCCTGTCTCGTTTAAAAGTATCAGTCAGGTAAGACCAGCAGCCCCTGCAAGAGTCCCCGCAACTGTTTTCGGTATGTGTGGAATGTTAATTACCTAGGAGTAATCGCTCATAAGAATCAGGCAAATGCCACACCAAGTGCAAAGTTACTGCATGGTAAGTGAGGTAGCGAGTCCGTCCAGATCCAGAGAAAACTAAGGATCAAGGTAGAGACAGAGAGGCCAAAGGATGCAAGATGTGTTCAGAGATTTAAGGGGTTTGGGTTCTTCACTCAATGCATTCGCAAATCTGTCGAAATATCCAAAGTCTAGGGTAATTTATAAGAACATATTTCCAGTGGACTCTGATGATCAGAAAACATTGGATGAGTTACAGTAAGCTTTTCAGAGTCTATGACCTTGCACACTCCGACTCCCACTCCCACTCCCACTCCCATCTTCAATGAAAGTGAGGTATACAGTGATTATAGTACCACAGATAACGAAGCAGTGAGAGCCTTCGACCCCTACATCTCTAGGCGTGTTTTTTGATAGAACTTCTAGGTCAGATATCTTGGTCTAGTTCCGTAACCAAACTAAGCATTTACAAGCTGCCAGAAGAAACCTTACACTAAGGCAAGGGGGGGGGCGGCAAAGGGGTGATAGCGAAAACTCAAATAAATCTGGTTACTAAATTATGTTTTATTTGTGAAATGCGTCTTCTTGTTTTCAATTTGAAGCATACCAAGATGAAAAAGGTGTGTTTGCTTATGTGTATGATGGGGAACGCTAGGAATCCACCTGGAAGCTAAGGAAACAAAGAAAAGTATGGGAAGCACTGGTTTGTTTAGTTAGCAACCTGGGTATTTGGACCGTTTCCCTCAATTCGAATGTTTCCCTCAAGGTAGCGTGCTTAGCACCATGTTACTGCCTTCCTTCTTGCTGTAAACGGTTTAGTTTCATTAAGACCATCAGGTATCCAAATCCTCCCTATGTGGATGATTTAACCAACTTTGCCTCAGCCCTTCCATATATGCTCTCCAACTTATAGTGTCTGCAGTATCACTCATCTCTTCTTGGTCCACTAGAAATGGCTTTCGCTTTTCTACTACCAAATCCTTCATTTTTTCTATCCTTCTTGGCTTATACTTTCCTCTAGTATTTGCTCCACTGTTTTCCCTGACCCACCAAAATCAGACATTCCCCATCTGTCCTTTACTCTCATTTCCCTGACCATGGCTCCATGTATTCCTCCAGTACCATGTTTACTCTGATGGTTCTAGATCCTTCTCCGGTGCTTATTTCTCTGTAGTTTTCCCTTCTCATACATTCGACTATCCCTCCTTCCGGAGTCAAGTGTCCTTCTGACAGAGCTGTATGCGTTCCCATTTGTATTTCATACTGAATAAATGTCTTGCACTGACCAGTCAGAATGTATTACTTGTAGAAGTGAAAATATAAACAGGTATGTTGCTGCCTCATCTCATATGTTGCTTGTTTATATTTTCACTTCTACAGGTGAAAAAATGTCTTGCACTGACCAGTCAGAATGTATTACTTGTAGAAGTGAAAATATAAACAGGTATGTTGCTGCCTCATCTCATATGAGGAAATGGAAACCCACGTCCAGGTAGAAGGTCCTTGCGTACCTTGGTATCTGGGTCATAATAGGGCTAGTGCCATGCCCCAAATATCGCAATTGCTGGTCAAACAATCGTGTGTTGCAGCATGATCTCATTGCCGAGGTCATGTCCAGGCATAGATTTGACCAAGTGACTCCATTTCACCCACGTGGAGGAAGTAGCTCCATTCCCGGAGAACAGGATATTGAAGCTGCGATTAATCGTAGAATTCTTAAATACTCGTTCGCCTCGACCTTTGTGCCGGAGGACATTGTCATCGGCGAGTCGTTGCGGAAATTCTGTGGGCTACTAGATTTCAAGACCTGCAAGCGGAGCAAAAGGTTGAGGTTGAGGTTGGTCTACAAGCTCTGTGCTAGTACCGGCCCTGCGGCTGTTTCAAGGTGTGTACCGGGCAGGATCACACGAGCGGTGCTGCAGTTGGATTGGTTTTATAGTCCGATTCACCCGCGTTCCTCTTTCCGTCCCATGTTGTCCTATGCTTTACTGCAGGTCGTACATCTGCTTTTCGCATCCCTGCCCCTCCCTACTTGGACATCCTTGTGGAATACCATTTTCTTCCTCAGGCGTATAAATTTCATACATTTGATCTAATCGCCTGTACCACCCTGCTTTAACGCATTTATTCTTTCTCTACCCGTTCTATCCAAAGCCGCTAGCACATTAACTTATCCCCTACTATGCCGCCCTGTAGTGCTACATGACTTAACACTTAATTTAGTTTAAAACCATGATTATTACCTTACTATATGGTAGTTGTATTCAGTTTTTGTAAGTACATGATTTCATTATCCAAGTATTTTTGTCGAACTTCTTTTCAATCAAGGATAAAATGTAATAAAATTAGAAATTGCCGTCTTATGTATATTTACTTTCCCTGGCGACCAACAAATTATTAAAGACGATTACTATAAATTGTAAGATTTGTCTGGAAAAATAATTTGTTCGGTTTATATTGGTGTGTAAAACCGTAGACATTTTCTTTGCAGCTTAAGAAAGTATATCATCCCCATAGGGTAGACTCCTGTAAATATGTCCTTTACTCTTAAATCCATATTCTTGATATCCAGCACTGAACTGTGGCTAAGGACCTCTCTACACGACGGGCAACTGTAAAGGTGATGTCACGGGCGAGGGAACTACACAACACCTGCAAGCCAATGTGATGAAGCCTTTCGGATGCATTTTCTTGCTATTTTGTTATATCGGTAATAGGATCTCTTCTTGGAGTTGCTGTTTTGTTATATGTAGAGTGGTCCCCGTGACGATGCTGCAGTGAAGGATATGGAGAATGCATAAAAATGGGCATCTTTGGTTGAACGTAATGGCAGGGCAAGGCTGCAACTTTCTTGCAATCGTTATCTAATACGGCCTTTATACACGGTTCGTAGCGGTCCTTGAAATCTTGAAAATTCATGGAATTTAAAGTTATAACAAAGGTCTAGGAAACACTTTCCCAACCTTCAGACCTTCAAAATATTCGAAAGTTGACCCTTACCGTTCGTAACACGAATCTGCTTGTTGATCTCATTTTGACTAATGTGCCATCTGTTCATTGTATCAAGGGCCTCATAATCTAGTTGATTTGATAATTATGATTAAATATGGAGACTGACACAGACAGTCTTGACAGTCTTTTCTCATATTTGAGAAAGTGACCACTCCGTACTCTACTAGACAATATCTCCAGTCAACTGCATTGATCGATATTTTCTTACCGTTTGCAATGAATTCTTTTGTCCATTATTTTACTGGATTAAGTATTCAAAATAGACAAAAGTAACTTTATACTCATTATCTTTTGAAATGTACCCATACAAAAATATAGGTTTCACAGTAAACTGGTTTGAAGTTTACCATTGACGGTAGGACATGATGAATGTGACAGCATTAAGATATAATTTGCACAAAACTGTTACAAGATCAGAAAGTCATTGAAGTATCGTTCAGAATAATGATGCTATTTGTGAACTCGCCTAATTGGTTTCACTCAAATTTATACAAGACTACAGACGAGTAACTAGGAAATCAATTCAGTTCATACTTACAACTATCAAACATTCTATTAACAGCTGTCTATACAATCGAGCACCAAGATACCTGTTAATTGAGTGCCAGTGCCCATGGTCGAGTGTAATAACCAGATAGTGACAGCAGCTTCAGTTTCAAGTTTGCTGTCTATTATGAACGAACGACCCACCCGAATACCAGCACCCTTGTGCAAGATATAAAAGGAAATCATTAATATGCATTACTTCCAGCACAAAGCAGCAATGATTAATCTGAACTGAACAAAGTCCGATCATGTGGATGGGGCCAAACCTTCACATACCATGGTTTAAATGGGTAACATTGACAGTTTTATAACAAAGATAATGCTTCCAGATATTTTGCAGCATATAAAAAGTATTAGCATATTCCTCTATCTTTTTCTAATTTTCAAATGTACTTGTTATTTAAGATATTGATGTGGAAACTTCTAAACACATCTTACAAACCTGAAGCAAGACTGGGCCATAACATTTGTACATTGTGCATATAAGTCTGAATCCATCAGTTACAAAATCAGTCAATGAAAATGTATATGGCAAATAAAAGCTAATCCTATTACAAAGTCAATGACTGCTCATCTTAAACTTGCAATTTTCCTATCATGTACTTATAATTTTCATGGGAATGAGAAGGATCATCTTTCAACTACAGTTCTAACCACCATAAAATCAATGGAAGTGTAGAAAGAATTTAAAGAATACATTTATTTAACCCAGACAAAATTATTAGATTTACAATTAGCTCTCAGAAAGAAGTGAACCATCCTTGTACATAATTAAGGTGAACTGGACATTTTTATATTTTAGTGGATATTACTATACCTTTAAAATGAAGTGCCACATTTTAACTATTATACATTTTAGTACAATTAAAGCCCACTATATTGCAGTCCTTTATTCTCTTCAAAAAAGTACAAAACACCTTTTATGAAAAGTAACAAACTTTCCTTCTACCCCCAGTATTAAAACTATTCCTTAAAAATGAACGTAATAAAACAAGTATAAACCTCTCAGTGGGATCTTTAATGCTGTCAAGGTTACATAGCGACAGGATATTTAGTCTACACTGGGAGGTGCACTTTCTCCCCTCTTAGTTCTGCTTCCTTCTGAATGAACATCCTGAAACAAGAAATACTACATTAGTAAAATGAAACTATACACCTTCAAGAGACCTATCTTGTTTAATCAAATCTGTAAGGAATATCCTCCAACCCAATATCTTGGATAAAGTGAAGAGATGCCTTTTGCTCTTGCATAGTCAAGTCCCACCAACATAAGAAAAAAAGAATCCTAGTTGGTTCTACAATTATGCATATTCACTTCCCAGCAGCGTTTTCAGCTGTGGATATTTATGGTAGAAAAGCTAATTACAACAAACCTTGCAGGCTAAAAATTAATTCTGCTTTTGCCTAATGGCTAAGTAAAAAGACTGCATAAGGCATGCACATACAAGCGACTGCCTTTCCAGTTATCACTTAATTCTATTATAAGCCATTGTTTTACCAATTTTGATCTAATTAATATCAGACAAAGTTATCTTGTATGAATATATAAAAGTGGAAAAAATGTCAATGGTACATACACAAAATGTGACCACTATTTGAAACTTGTACCTTAGGACATTATCAGACATTTTGAGAAACTAGAGAACATGTTTATGTATTAATCTTTCCAGCACAAAGCAATGATCAATCAGAACTAAAAGATTAATTATAGAACATTTACTTACCATCTGTAAGCTTAGCCTTCCCACCAGTAGGCTGGCATAGAACTGTTGCACAGCCTACACATGCTACTACTGTCTGGGCGTGGGAGAAAACTGTGGAAATCTTGAAGCAGCCTGTAATTAAGATTTTAAAATTACTCATTTCAAATAGTCACCGAACAATTCAATTCAGATTTATTTTTAACCACTAGATGCCAGGTGGTATGTATGTACTTGCCATGGCTATTCTGGACCGAAAAACTTTTTCAACAATCATAACAGGTTCATTTATATGGTAATTTTAGACAATAGCACCAATAATAAAGGTAAGCCTTCATATTTATATTTTTTTAAATTAAAGAAACAAAGGTTTTCGGTGCAAAATGTCACTTGTAAAATACCAAACGATCTGGGGTGGAAACAGGAAACTGCCACTTGAACTTTTTTTGCCCAGCAGCATTGGGTTAATCATTCTTAGTCATTGCCTAACAGTTTTACAAATTTCTATGTACTTTTTAACATGTGCATTCCATTATCATTTACTAAGTACCTAAAATATGGTTACATATACTATAATTTACAAGCAATACCAAAAGACCAATTTATCCCCATTGTAAAAAAGTTCTGGTTCTAACAGAAAACCAAGGTAATTTCTATATTAGATCAATATTTTGCTTATGGCTAAATCACTTCAGTTTAGTTCATTTTCCCCTTTTAGGTCAGATCAACTCTTAAAAATTCAAAAAATCTTTGTTACTCAATGAAAACAAGTTTAATTATCTGACAAATGCGGAATTGTCTGCACATTGTGGTATAACAGTTTTGGACGGCCATGTAATAAATAATTAGTGGGAACAGATCAAAGAATTACAAAAGACTGAAAATATACTTACAAAATATGACAATAATTAACCATTCGTATCACATTTGTCAAGTTTCCTTCTTAACTTAATGGCAAATGAACCAAAATGCATCTCTTATTGCACAATAGGAACAGGTGTGAGAGCTGGGTCAATGTACAAATTGTTTCTTCACTTGCAAGACTTCTTACTACTTGGCTGTCCAAAACTGATTTCAGACATTTTACTTAGAGCAATATATAAATGTCAGGTTCAAGACATTCCACCATAGTTAATCATGGTCGATTAATGTTCAAAAACCTTTTCATTCTTGCATACTTTTTCCACCCCAACATACAATAGGTGCAATGTTAGGCCTACTGATATGCAGATCCACCTTATTAAAGTACTTTAATATTCATACAAAAAAATAAATGACATGACCATGAAAAAATTTGGCTTTACGAGCAGGTGACTTGATCAAGTGACGTGAGACTGGAGATGAAAACTTGACAAACAGACTGATACACAAATACTTTTTCATCTAAAAAGAAAAACTTGAGGGAGAGCCATCTTATATAGTATACAAAATCAAATAGGTATTACTACAGCAACCTCATTTATCACGAAATTACAAAAATATTTTGCTGCATATCATCGCTCAGGCTTTCCACAACACCCTCACAAAGCCAAAGTTCATAATGTCCATTTTCTAGGAGTTGGTACAAAGTGCTAAAAAAGAGGGTATTTCTTAACAGCGCAAAGGCACTCATCAATAAATAAGAATTTACATCAGGGGCGAGTCCGGAGAATTTTCTGGTACGGGGCACAGGGAGTAACAATAAATCTGGGGGGGTTGCTCAAAAGTAACAAAAATTAAGGCTGCCCACTTCAGTCTTCATATTGTACAGTTAAACAATGTTTATGTTTTCATCTTCCTGTGTGTATTACATAATATACAAGTATTACATTGATATATAAAGGGTTAATGACAATTGTGGGGGGGCACAGGGCAATCAATCAAATTTCTGGGGGCTGCGGGTGCCCCAACCGTGCCACCTCTGATCTATATTGGCAAGTCATTAACTTTAGTTGCATGACAATAGTTGAAACTTGGATGCATCCAGTGGAATCAGTCTGAGCATCGCTTACCCTAATCCTTTACCTATATTTTCTGGTAATGACCACTGCAACTTTTTATTCTCCAAGAATATCTTCATTTGTTACCAAGAGCAATACATACTCAAGAGACAGTCCCAAAACAAGGTGTAACCGAGTTTATGCCTATTTCTATTTTTTGTTGGTTGTGTGCCATTTCCCTCTTATCTCTGTATTGCTCTTGGTAACTTTTACCATCTCAATTTGCCCAAGCTTTTGTGTATCAATATGGTCAAGAGTAACAAATTTGTTAACAGTATGCTACTGCAATTCTTTTTCTAGACAATGTAAGAGCACTAATTAAACTTTCATGCTGTTAATTTCACCATATAAGATGTGTAGAATTGAAAACATCTTGCATTTACCTCCAATACTAAAATCGTCTAACCTCCCCATTTATTATACCCCATTCCCATCCACTAGTCTTCAATCATCTACATTACTGCTGATTATTCTTTACAGTATAGACATATTAAGCAAGGGCAAACTAAAGATATTCATACAGAGGGCAAAAAGTTTTGGTCATTGGTCATCTGCAGACAATGGTAATGACAAATACAAGAAAAAGGTTGCGAAACTGCCATCTACAGCCCGAGTCCACTAAATATTCTGAATTTCAGCTCTTTAAACTTGGAGTGCATACTGAGGTTACGACCAATTGTCTGGGGGTATCTGACCTTACCAAAAGGGCACACCCACTCACAAAAAACTTGAAATTTTTTTGACCTGCAGTGTACATGCTGGAACAAATTACGTTAAGGTTACCGAGAACAACCAACAAATAGGGAAATGATCACTGCCATGTTATAAAGCTTAAGAAATAGTCGAACATGTAAAGCTGCTGCAGCTGCTGTACAAATCTTACCAAACGCTAAACCAGAAAATGGCACTCACCAGGGCACTTAACATCCATGAAGTAGGAGTTAGGGTGCTGCACAAGGCGTTTGAGCTTGCATTTCTTCTTCTCCTCAGCGGGTGAGGGATGCAGTAAATCTTTTGCGAGCTGTTGGCAAAGAAAGGTAAAGGTTAATTCCCGCATGTAGAATACAATTTCCTTTTTCAAATACAATCAAAATTGGCATTTGTCAGGTTTCTTCCTCCTCTACCAGACAGAAGTCGGCAGAATAAACATCAAAAACCTTTTGATCTTGCATTTTTATCCCCCAAATTTGCCACAGAAACAAATCTGGTCTACTAAATGCATTTCACGTCACTCTGAACACCAGACGTCCACAACCAATTCCATAACGGCACCAAAATAATATTCCACGAAACTTAATAAACAAATGATAAAAAAAAGGGAATACACAGCCATCTACAGCTCCTGGCTTACCCCCCCCCCTTCGTACTTGTTTACCTCCAAATAAAAGTTTCCACAGCTGGAGGTCAAATCACTGGTCACTCCTTTTGTTACTTTTATTCGTATTTCAGGGATAATCTACTTTTGAAACTACTTATATCGATAACTCTGAAGGGCACTCGATAAATACACGTGGTTACCACGTAGGAAACGCGATCTCGCTGCATTTCCGGAATATCTTTTCGAACACGGGTTTTAGAATCCTACTGAAAAAACTCAATTTAAACCTTTGAAACTAAACCTAGCCAATAAAGGCGAATATCTACGTAAACGACATTACTTTCTCCTCAAAACCTCAAATACCGGGTGCAAAAAAGGGCCAATCTGCCAACACCAACACGTGCCAACAGCAACTGCGTCCCAGGTTTATCTCCGCGTCCCTGCCAACTGTCCCCCACGTGTCTGCCCTCGTGGGGGTATTTAGCGCTAATTTCACTCTTCTCACACTAATAAATGGAATAAGGGAGGTCAAAAGGGTGGAAATGAGAGCTTTACTGGTGTTTTAGATCCGCAACATGGCCGCTAAAACCACGTTGTAAAGACCAGGCTAGAAGGGCCGCTGTCCTTCCTTCGGATTTCCAAAGACATCTCACTTTGTTCCGCCTCTTTTATCCACTTTATGGCGTCCTCACACTCTTCTCCTCCCTTTATCCGCATATATCGTCCACATCCACGGGCGAAGAGGGGCAAAAATCACATCAAAACAGGAAGAAACTCACAGGCATGTTGGTCTTAATCCAAGAACGGCCGAAAAGAGCAAATTTACGCCGTCCAGCAACAAAGTAGGATCGGGATGCGCAAGCTTTATATGCCTCTAGAAGGTGCCGATTTACGCCACTTTTAGAGTCTTTTCCGGGCTCTTTTGGGGGTTATTTATATGCTTGCGATGTCTTGAAGTGTGTGCGTGGGTTTATTTCATCGATTGGGGCATATTGCGAGGTTAATTCTGATTTTATTTTGTTTTGCGCGAAATTTCGAGATAAGTCTTTCTAGAGCCAATTATCGTCTCGGGAGAATCAAACTATTTTCCTCATACTTAAAAGCCTTTTTTGGCATTCTCAAGCTTTCTTTTGCAGTGGCATAAGGATCTAAATAAAGGTAATAAAATCAAAGGATATGAAAGCGCTTGGCAATTTTCCCCAATGGCGAACGTGCATGAGCGTGTTATTATTGCGCAACAGAATGAAAACGTGACATTTCATAACGTTGACAGATTGTTGTTTTCTTCTTTTATAAACCTATTAGAGTAGTTCAATAGACTTTCTTCGAGGAAGTCACTTTCAACGTGATGAAATTGTATTTTAGCTTCATAGTTGAGAATGCCCTTACATACATAAACTAACAGTACATGTATATGCATTTTTGTATGTATGTATGCATGCATGTATGTATAAAGACACCCTTCCCCCCTCTCTCTCTCTCTCCTCCCCCCCTCTCTCTCTCTCTCTGAACATATCTCTCTATATAAATATATATACATATAAATACATATCGTTATATATAAATAATATATATATATATATATATATATATATATATATATATATATTATATATATATATATATATATATGTGTGTGTGTGTGTGTGTGTGGTCAACTCGTATAACTCCTTAATATATATATCGTAATATATTGTGTGTGTAATAATGTGTGTGTAGGTGTGTGTGTTGCTGTGTGTATAACATTGTGACAATCTGTGAATATTGTGTGGGCCGTAGTGTCTTGAATTTTTGAATGTTCTCATTTTGAAGTGTGTAAATAGTTTTGAATTGATTTGGTAATTCTTAATAAGGTTTTTAAGTTCTTTAAATTTGGTCAGGTATTGAAGAATCTCTTCTTTCTCTTTCTCTTCTCTTCTCTTCTTAACTCGTTCCCTTCCCTCTCCTTCTTCTTCCTTCTCTTCTCTTCTCTTCTCTTCTCTTCTCTTCTCTTCTCTTCTCTTCTCTTCTCTTCTCTTCTCTTCTCTTCCTTCCCTCTTCCCTTCCCTTCTCTTCTCTTCTCTTCTCTTCTCTTCTCTTCTCTTCTCTTCTCTCTCTCTTCTCTTCTCTCTCTCTTCTCTTCTCTTCTCTCTTCTCTTCTCTTCTCTCCTCTCCTCTCCTCTCCTCTCCTCTCCTCTCCTCTCTCTCTCTCTCCTCTCTCTCTCTCTCTCTCTCTCTCTCTCTCTCTCTCTCTCTCTCTCTCTCTCTCTCTCTCTCTCTCTCTCTCTCTCTCTCTCTCTCTCTCTCTCTCTCTCTCTCTCTCTCTCTCTCTCTCTCTCTCTCTCTCCTGTTATATAACATTTGAAAACAAGTCTGAATACTACGCCGTAGCGCTCATATTTGTATATATTTTTTATTCCATAAGCAATTACAAAATTACCAAGTATGTTAAATTAATAGCAGGAATCTGTAAGGAAACTAAGAAAGAAAAATATGTTTGTATTCTGCTCGTCATAACGGCGTAGAACGTAAACAGCCTGTCATATTACTTAATATTAATGACTGTCTTTACATGAGGCCGAACTATATTAAACTCATTTGAAATACTGATAAAAAAAATGATATAAGATGATTGGCTGCAGACATACATAGCAGTTATAATCGACTTCCTTAGATAAGGTGATAGCACTTGTTTCTATCCATTTAGCCGATATATATACATCTTATTTGAGTGATGAATGTTTTTATTTACTGTTTTTTTCTGGATATCTAGTTAATGTAGAGCGCTTTCGTTCAACATGCAACATGGTGAAACTGGAATAATAAGCAGTGTTGCAACATCGCATGCAATGAAGCTGGGAGTCCAGTCGGAAGTTGTGTAATATGCAGGATTAAAGAATGAGATTGATTAATATGATAGAGATGCGTAAGGGAATTATAGTATCTGTTAAATTACGAAGAGTATTCTTTTCATAAGAATATCTGACCTGTACATCAAAACATCAATATGCGCATTTTCTTCTTCACTCCCTTGCCTCGTTATCGTCTGAATTGTCACTAATTAGCGATAAGCCAATAATAGTGGTGTAAATAAGTGTTAGGCGTTTGATTTGGTAATTTTATTATTTTTCACACTTGTATCTATGAGCAATCACTGTGTTGTTTCAGACATTATTGTTATGTAGTTACTATCCATGTATATATGTGAAATTTTGTAAAACACAAACCAAACTGATATATATTAAAACCTGGCGCAAGTCAAGATCACCTAATCATTAAAGCTAATTAGAAATGTGTTAATGCCACACATCTCTCAGCAATCCGAATGTATGTTATCAAGCATTTATCCTACTGTAGATTTATTTATATCTTTATAATTATTGATTTTATTACAGATAATAAGTTCCAGACATTACCACATGCCCTGCTGGATTCAACAAATGTAATTTAGCCATGGATACAAACTATTTGCTGGCTTCACCTGTGCTCCTCATTGGTATCATTTGCAATTGATTTTAATTAAAGTGATCTGTTTTTTGGGGAATCTGGATTCAAATCACTGTAGAATATCATACAAGCTTCTTGACAAGGGAGTATTGGAGTTGGATGATGCCTTCTTTTAAGCTTTTATTTAACAGGTAAATGTTGGTACCTGGAATAGTTGCTGTTCCCAACCTGACCAAACCCTTCCGTTCCCCATCTGCAAATGTTATCATTGAACTGCATTTCAAAATAATGCATAGTAGTTTCCTAAATCAAATTAGCATTCAAACCAATATGAAAGAGTATCTGCTTAGTTTTATAGTAGTTAAAATAAATACTTTAGTGTGCTCTCCTTCCTTTCTAATAAACTGTAAAGATACATATACATAAATCTGCAAATGCCACTTTCTTTATTACTGTTACTGAATGAATGGTCATTCCTTAAATGTTGATGCTTTGCAATCAGCCTTTATTAACATGGATACAGGGGCATGTTGCTAAAATAATTCTCACTTCCATGAAGAGCGATGGTCTAAATTCTCATAAATAAAATGAGTAATACTGTCTGTTTGATACAAACTGTCAAATATAATATAGGGAAAGTATAAGAAATGTTGAGACAAAGCAGATCTCACCAAAACGGTATACCTCGATTCCATCATCAATGGTAAAGCATATGGGACTGAAAGCTGATTTTTTAAAACAAATGGAAGCTGCACATTAACCTGCTTGATCATACTATCTACAGAGGGTAAATATAAATACGAAATATATATACATGTATATTTTTTATAAATTCACTCCTGTAAGTACATTAGAAATATGAATTTTTGGTAACATTAATCACAGGACATACAATGCAGTAAATGGCTCACTTCAAAAGAAAAATAAGCACAGAAAAAAGCAAAGCAAAAGCTGGATTCTGGAATGTAATAAGCAATAACATGAATAAGTAAAACAAATAATAAACATTCTATAAATGCAACAAAACTACAACTCACAAATCACACCAAACCTAACTTAAAATTATTGCATTTAGTGTCAAGAATAGTTACAGCCCTAATAACAAAAAACAAAACCAAATGAAAAAAGTGTAGTACTTTTGACACATCTTATTGCATACCAATAACGCCTACACAAAAAAGTTGCAAAAGAAAGAATGATAATGTATCCGCATATTACAAAGATAGCGTAGTTTACAACATTCAGAATGTTTATTGCTCGAGACAATTCTAATCAATATCCACTACTGTCTTTTATAAATGAAATAAGTATAAGAATAATCACATTTCATGTTCTTTCCCAATAACTGTCGAAGAATAAATTGCGTGTCTATCTAACAGCACTACAGCTAATGACCATGAATCTATTAGATCTATTAATACAGCATGACTAGTTTATAAAATACTGGGGAGAGAAGTGGAGTAGAAGAGTAAAAGATTTGGATGAGAGGAGCTAGAGCACAGAAAGACGAGAAAGTAAAGAAAGAAAGAAAGAAAGAAGAAAAGAGAGAGAAAGAAAGAAAGAGAGATATTTAATGTCAGAATCAATTTACACCGTGCAAAATATATTTCTTAAGGACAATACTTAGCTTTTACACACACACAATTACATTTTCCTTATGTTTATGTTATATATATAATTATAATGACACAAAATGCTACCTTTTACTTCTATAAATCTGTCAAAATAGTAGCAGTATAAATTTCCAAAATTACAGCATCAAATTCTACACCATTATTGATTTACAAACGACTACATATTAAAAAGGACATCTGTTATAAAGTTTGCATGTTTTTTTTTCTTTTCTTTTTTTACAGAAGATACAGATTCTAAATACATCCTGGAAAGGTACAAAAATACCAAAACTTGCATTTACTACATAATCAAAAATATTTTTGAGTGAATTTTTTTTTTTCTTCCAAAGAAGAACTTCCCAATAAAGAAAAGCATATAAAAATTCTAGTCATCCACTGATTAGTTGATGAATTAAAAATAAATAAATTGTACATACTTGCACATACATAAACATAACAACATTCACGCACAACAATTTTGAGAATGTGTAAGACACTCGTAACCATTTCGAAAGATAAGGCAACTACATATCACATGTAATTTTTCTCTTTGCCATTTAGAATTGGCAGAAAATAAGGCTCCCACAAAAAATATATGTTTATAGATTTTTCAAAAACTAATTTTTCAATGATTCTAAACATTATCCTTTGGGAGAAAAACATTTCTTGCTTACAAATGTACAGAAAAATACAAACAATTATCACCCCAGAGCAATATATTTCTTGCATACAATGGGATAAGAAATATTTTAAAAACTTGTATTTGTCCCTTTTTAATGATTCTTTGTAAAAAAATATACTTAAAAATCTAATTTTGTGAGCAAGTGTTAAAACAAAAACATACATATATTTTTTGTCATATAACCAATATGCTTGTGAATACATTTTAACAGCATATCGAAACTTTTATACAATTACACAAGTAGACGGAAT